CTCAAATTATGCAAATCTGATCAAAATGGCAAAGTGTCCGAGTTTTGGGATTCTGTGTAAATAGTGAGAACCGTTTTAGACGACATATTTAACAGAGTTTGGAAGTAGCTTTCGCTGACTTAAGTGTTGTGATGCTACAAAAATAGATCTTAAAGTAGATGTGATACAGTTATCGATTGATGTTAAGAAAGCTTTTAGCATCGTATTAGTGAAATTTTTTAAATGGTTCGTATTTTTGGCAGAGCATAAGTGATTTGAACTTTAGTTTAGATAAAATTTCTTAAAAGAGAAAATTGGTGAAATGTCGGGCTGGCGTAACGATTTATCATATGTACTTTGAAGTTAATAGAATATGACTGTAAAAGGAGATTAGATTTGAAAAAATAAGTGGTAATAGAAATAGTGTTTCGCGAAAGTGCCTGGTTTAGTGAGCAGGAGATGGCCTACATTTAAAATGTGCTGAGTAGCTTGAAGCTTATAATTTGTTAATTCGCATTGGCAATTTTAGATTGAATAATCCTTTGCAATTAATGGTACAGTTTGCATGGAAGTTGTAGAATGTGCAGATAGTTATTTGAGCATCAAATGGAAGTTCGTTGTAATCATTAAAACAAGATTAGGTGAATGGTGGGACGATTTCCGAAAATATGTGTAACCATTCTAATTTATTTGGGGTTGTAATTTACATTATTGTTAAGATGTTACATTTTCACCATTTTTCAATTGTTACATGACTAGGACTTAGGTACATAAGTATCGATTGATACAAAGTTTAGAGAACTGTAAGATCTGGTATAAGTAGACATCAATGATAATGTAATTATGAAGTATTCCGTTAAATAAGTTAATGTATAGAGTGAGTTTCAATGTGTTTAAAATGATGAGGCGATTACGTAATTTTCGTTCTCCTGTCTGTTGTTCATAAACTGATCTGTCTCCAGAAGCGACTTCGAGAAGTTTAGTGAGCTCTCCTGTTTGAGATTGAGGCCTTTGTATTCATGTTTTTAACTTACTTTTGAATTTGATATACGTACAGCGGTGTGGTGTAAGTAATTCTTATTAGGAATGTCGGTATGAAATGAAGCTTAATTTAAAATAGACGTGAGATATTTTAGGACTCGGTATGAAATGAAGCTTAATTTAAAATAGACATGAGATATTTTAGGACTCGATTTTCGTAAGTTGTAGGAGGTGACATTTTCGTTTTTAAGCCTTAATTATAGTAAGTAATATTTTGTAACAGTATTTCACAAACAATTTAGGACATATCAATGTCTTTTGTGATATGTTTATTAGGTAGTTTATATGTTTACAATTTCACAAGAAATGTATACTTTTAAGGATTTGTTTTTTTAGGTAGTCGATGGATAAGTGCATTGTTCTGATGACATTCCAGAGACGTACATATCATCTAGGAGGTAGTAAGTCTAGGCACCGCACCGTTGTTATTTGAGGGTTGAGAATGGCAGCTGAGATAGTTTTGAACTGCTTCACAGTAATTTGAAATACTCTTTTTGTCTTTCATACGTTATGTTTCTTGCGGTTTTCCCATAGGAATATAAGTTTTCGTTCTTAACGAATTTAATAGGAAACTTTAATTTTGAGCTTTAGTTCGGCACATGTTCCATCATATCAGTTAATATTGCATGAGCAAAATGCTGTTATGAAGCATCTCTCCTTTGCTTTTTCTTTTCTCCAATGAACAGTTCTCTTAGTATATTGCTGCCCGATTTCAAAGGATGGGTGATATCACTTTACAAATAGTCGTTACTTTTGTTTCCGAAATAGACATGATTGGAGGTCGTGTTTGTCAACGAAAAATAAGACAACTGGTCGAAATCGTGATAAATTGTGCAGGCATTTAGGTACTTCAGCATTCATTCAATAATTAGTTTTCCGGTAAGCATTAGTTAGGCGATTTGTAGACATTATTTGTAGGCTAGTAAGTTCACACTAGGACTTCTGGAGCCATAGAAGCACTAGTCTTCCATGGCAGCTGCTCTCTAATTGGCGTGTGGCGTGCGTCAATTCAAATTAGGTAGGCTGTAAGATTCTTTGGACGGGTTCCCACTTACATATGTCTAAGTTAGATTTTAAAATGTTGCTTAGGATGAGTTGGTATAACTAGGACGGTTGAATGCCTGCACTTATCGTTCTATTTATTTTAGTATCGACCAGGCTGTGCTTCCTTGGTTGGCATTCATGTAACTTCCATCGTGCCCGTTTATTTCGAAATATTTTTGAAAAAATGTAAGAAAGAATTAAGTGAGTATAGAAAAGTAAGGATCGAAGTAAAAGTGAGTGCTGTAGTCCTTATTCTGCTTTTGGATTTGGGAATTTGTGGCTTTCTAGATCAATTACATTGAAGAGCTAAAGATAAAAGTCAGAATGAAGATAATTCTGATCCAAGTTAATATGAGTTGAACTTGATTGCCATTAATAATCTAATAGTCCAGTAGATCGGATTTAAGGAATTTTATAGAAGAAATATTTGCGATATCAGGTGAAATTGTAACATCATTAACAGATGTTGTTAGACAGTTCTGGTGAATTTCGATGGCAAAATATAATTAGTCACCCACCATACTTCTGGTGACTAATGAAGGACTCAAGTATTTTACTGCTTTCCCACTCTAGATATTATCTGCCAGAACATTTTGATATTTTTGGGTTAGTGCTATGAGGAGCTTGTTTCAGGTCGGGTTCAAATATATTCTCCAACCTGAATAGTTCGAACTAAGTAACTTTTCTAAATATAAAAGAAAAACTTTTATACTATATATTTACATATATACATTTATATGTTCGAAATGTTAATATTTGAAGTTTTGGATTGATGCTTAAAAGGCACATTTCTCACGAAATTCTCAAAGGAAACAGAAGGTTAAAATTTATTTTTGCAAATAATTTCGTAAACCTATTTGGGTTTGAAAATTTCGTTTTTGACAAATCAAACATTTGCATTGTGAGCAGTTATGCTACAATTTCAGTAAAATCAAGTGGCGATTTTAATTATCGCTATTTTTCGAATAAAATTTATAATTTCGCAGCGCTTTTAGTGATAAATTTTTTAAAATAATATTTTCCAATTATAATACAGAAATTTCGCTGCGCATGTTTCGAAAATATCCATTTTTGGAATTTTTTTTAAAAATTACACATTTTGCAATTTTTTTTGAAAATACATATTTTTGGAACTTTTTTGCGATTTCACATTTTTCGATGATTTTGAATAAATTTTTTTTTTTCTGTTATTCTTTTCACACTGAAACACACACAGAATTATGAGAGCCGCGAGATGGATCAAGGCAAAACTGGAATTATTATGGTCTGAGTTTTCTGGTCAAAATAAATACATCCGGTGACAGGACACTCGAATTTCCAAGATACCACAAAGTATGAAATGTGTAACAGCGGGAACATAGGTTACTCCTCTGCGGACAGTAGTAATTTAAGAATTCTGAAATGGTAAAATTACGTCCTTATAATTGCTGAGGGACAGTGTCAGACTTCGAATCGAATGAATTGAGGAGAATGTGGATGAGGACGACATAATGATTAGGCAGTCGTATACATGTCAGTCAAATATACAACTATTAAGGTGACACTGCAAAACAGGTGATTAAAATGTTACATATGTTGAAAGGTTGGTCGTTGCACGGTTAGAGGTAAACGGTTTGTGCAGAAAGATCACGATCATTGTTGTTATTGTTGCTGGAAAATGAAAAATAACCAGGAAACGAAATGATTTACCTGCGCCAAATAGTTTTTTTTTTGCCCTCGGACCAAAATAAACAAAAATAGTTCGAGTTATAGCCGGATGCATATTGCAACGATTTTCGGTGAAATTATAGAATTTAATTCTTTTTAAATCAAATTTTTTTGATAATTTCATGAAATTAACTTATGGTTAAAACCTATCAAACTTTGGAAGGTAAATAAATTGATAGCAAATCAAAAATATTAACTTTTACAAAGAATTTCTGATTTATGCTCAAAAAAACTATATGTTGAACGCTGCGAGCAATAGTATTTTTACAGTTATTTTTGCGATTTGACCTCAATATCCATTTAGATGTTTGATACGATCATAAAATAGGGAATGATGACGTCTGATATGTGTTGCATTTTGATTTGCATGTTGATAAGTTTCTAGAACACTTAAAAAATTTTAAGTGTAACAGAATAAAAAAAAATACATAATAATTATAAATGATAAATGCGATGTTACAGTGAGCATAAATAATATCACAAAATCTGATAAACAAAATGATAACTGCGAAAAAACGAACAGTAAAGACAGATAATTGATGTTCAAATTGTTAGTTAATGATTTGCAACGATTTTCAGTGAAATTATGAATTTAATTCCTTTTAAATCAAATTTTTTTGATAATCTCATGAAATTAACTTATGTTAACTTTAACCTATCAAACTTTGGAAGGTAAATAAATTGATAGCAAACCAAAAATATTAACTTTTACAAAGAATTTCCAATTTACGCTAAAAAATCTCATTATCAGTTAGTAAGTAATATTTAAAAAAACAATAGAAAGTAGGCCGAACAATTTCAAAGCAGATGAATATTATGAAGTGAATGGAGTAATAAAAATTTGGTTTTCAGTTAAAGATTAAATTTTACACCCGATTGAAAATCTCATTAATACTAATTGACAATTTGTTTAAGCTAGGTTGAAATTGCATTTTTTAAGGGATCATGTCGATGTGTTAGATGAATTTTTGGAGAAGTGTAGCTATTCTTTAAATCATAAAGTCTATATGTTAATAACTAAATTACAAAGTAATTTAAGCGTGAGAGATTATTTGACAACTTGTTTAGGCTAGATTAACAAATACAATATGTACGTAAATAATAAGTGAAAAATTCAATGAATTAAAAGAAAAAGAAAAAACAATGAAATCATTTAAAGAAAAGACCGGGTTTTACGTACTCGTAAAAGCATGACTAATATCATCGATGAGAAAAAGTTTGATTCGATCCTATGAAAATATTACAGATGGTGACACCGTGAAATCACTACCTATATAAATAGAATGTTCAAATATTTGAATATGTGGATTAATTATATTCAGTGGAAGAGTTGATGATGTTGGCAATGATATTCTCAAACCTCTATTTAATTGTTGATTGGCTACCTGAAATTAACATCAAATTTTGTAATGAAGCAGAGTTGAAGAAAAGGAAAAAAAAAGAAAGTTGAAAAAAGAGATAAATGCATGATAGATTAGTTAATTGATAAAAGTTCAGAAGAAAATAAATTGTCGTAAAATTTGTGGAGCAAAAATGCTTTACATACCTTTAAAATCATATCACCAGCTAAGCTAGCTAAATTATCAAGTGCATCCTGTTGCAAGCCTAATGTTTGATCTCGATCCATTAATCTAAAAACTGGTAATGATGCATTTGCAACGATTTGTTGACCCATAGCACGAAGCATTATATCAGCAACTGCTATCACTGTCATTGTACCAACTCGTATGTTTGTTTTATCCAAATAAATGTTAACATCTGCTATCAAATCTAACTGTACATTACCTAAAAAGTAAGATTGATTTTAAATTCTTTAAAAAATATAAATTTAAAATCTTTGGTAAAAAAAAAGTGAAAAGATTATTTACCAATATAGTAATATTTACCTCCGCTACGTCTACTAATTGCAATTGAAGGTGCTCTTGATGTATGTATAAGAAGCGCTAATGTCCTGTTCGGATATTTCTCTTTGATGGCTGGTATGATATCACCCAGACAGATACCAAGATCAGCCAAATCACCTAAACTTCCCAAATCACTACCCGTAATCGCTTGACGCTTGCTACGTTGCTGATGATAAAGATGGTACCGACGACGACGTTGACTTAAACGTAACAATCGAATAAATAATGCCTCATTTTCAAAATCTTCCTAAAATATTTTCATTTTTATTATTCAAAAATGAAATGATACAAATGATATGATAGTAAATTACAAATAAATTAAATCATGTTTCTAGTAGAAATTATCATACAAATAAATGATAATATATAATTTCTATCAAGTTTATCTGATCATTTCAAATTTAATTTCCAATTAGAACTTTAAATTCAAAATTAAAAAACAAATCAGAACTATATATTTAGCTATACAAATTAATGGCTACCATGATTTTTTCATTCTTTAAAAAAAAAAACAAAAAACAAAAGAAATGAATAGGTAAACGAACTCCCGAGTAATCGCTGCTAATATCACATGTTGTTACTAGTAGTGATCCAATACTGGGTGTTTCTGGTCCTATACGAAATGATAAAAAATTAGCCCTAAAAAATTTTTCCCTATCAAATATGTTAATACTGGAAATGAATAAGGTAGTAAAAAAAAAGTGAGAAACGGTAAAAAAAAAATCGATCATAATTTTTCTAATATATATATA